CAAGAAAAGGTATTGATTCATTACCTTCAAAATAAATTCAATGTTTAGTTTCTAATGAGATTTCAAATAGAAAAAAGAAATTCAAAGCTTATTGAATCATGTCACGAAGTTACAGACGACTAAAAATTTATGGAAGAAAATATTTGTTAGCTGCTTAGATTTTGAAAAAAAACTGCTTAGTAGTCTTTAGTAAAATCCTTGTATTTTTCGAACGCAAACAGTTATCAATCTCGGCCTTGCGTAGATCGATAGAGGTGAAAGCAGGCTATCTACCTATTATATTAAAGTTGAGAAACCATGTAATTTTCATGAACGATCATGTTCATTTTCAAAGACTACAATACATCCAAGTAGAAAAATGACTAGAATTTTTCATTGACTTTATAAAAAGATAGAGCAACGTCGACTCTAGATAGTACTAAAAACCCGACTTTATTTCCTCTTTTTGTTTTAAAGTTATTAAAAAAATGCCCACGTCCATTTAACTCTGAAATGGACATTAGATTTGATATTTGTTCTTCAACATTCTCCAAACAAGATGTAGATAGAATCTTCTCAGGATTTTTTCAGTTTAGGAGTTTCATATAGTTCATTATTTTATTGCTTAAATTCTTGTCTAGTATTCATATAAATCATCATTTTACAAAAAAATTCTGAATTCATGCAATTTCGAATAAAATTCTCCGATTCCTATGTGTTTCTATCGAAAGCTTGAGTCAAATTAGCATTGCTCTTTCTCGGAAAAATCTCCTTACAGCAATTTCCTAGTGTAGTTTTTAGGGTCAAAAAGATCTTGGTAAGAAGTAGAAGTAACATAGATGTAAGAATTGTTACCAAATCCGTCTTTTTTATAGGAAACTAGGCAAAGACTTCTGAATTTTTCTCTGCGAAAAGAACATTCTTGAAAGTTTTACCTAATTCCCTTCGAAGAAGACGAATGTCTCCTTCATAGTTCTTTTCCTCGCGAGATAGAGGTAGATTTCTTTGATAATGATGATTCCTTTTCTTTTCCTCGTTCATTGTAGTGGTTGCTAATATTCCAGTCGATGCCTGATGGGCAATGACTAGAATCGACATCTGTGTACCAATTATTCCAAACTCCTTTTTCTTGAGGCCTCGTTACAGTAAACATGATATTGTGGTTCAAAGAAATATACTCAGAACAAGTACTACATAAGGATTATAGCAAGATTTTGATAGAATATAGCCACAATTTTTCGATTTTGCCAGAGTATACTGTTTAGTCATCAAGATTTTCTTCTAACGAGAGAAGGTCCCCCAAGTGTTAGTGTAGAACTGGACGGGCTGATTCTCGTGGTATGTTTCGTTTTTCCCTCATAGAATCTCATATGAGAAAAACTGATCGATTTTACTAGTAAATTTCTTCACATTGGATAACTTTCGAGACATTTGCTAAAAATTTAGGACTTAACGGATACTTAAAGTTTAAATGGTCTTGTTAACACATAGGCAATGTCACATGCGAGTCTATTATTATATTAGTTTAAGCGCAAATTAAACGTCACCTTCTGAATGCATAACATTATTTTCTGTCAGGATCACTAAAGACTTCCAAGTATAAAAATTCTACAATTAATATTCATAGCTATAATGAAATTGAGTTTTACAAGGAAATACTGTTCTCATATTCTTTTAAAGTAATATAATAATAGACTATCACATGTGGCATTATCTATGTGTTAACATGGCCATTTAAACTTTAAGTACTTGTTAAGTTCCAAATTTCTAACAACTGTCTCACTCGTATATATTCAATTGAACATTGAGGCTAATACCTGGGAACCTTCCCTCCTAAGATTCTAATGTAATAATTTGAAGCTCATTCTAACCAGAACCTATCACAGTTTTGTAGAATTCTTTCTGATTGGCCCCTTCAAAACTACGATTTCTAAATTGCACATAAAATTCATACATCTCAATGTTTTTCTATGCAGAAACCCAATAGAATCAGCATTCATCTATTCAGTATCTCAATTCTAGAAGGTATCATATTCCAAAGATGTACCTGAATCTTCTCAAGATTTTTTCAGTTTAGGAATTTCACATAGTTCATTATTTTCTTGCATAAGATTCTGAATTCTCGCAATTCCGAACAAAATCCTCAGATCTCTGTTTTTCCATTAAAAGCCTACATGGAATTAGCATTACTCTTTCTCCGACAAATTTCCTTACAGTAATCTCCAGATGTTGTTTTTTTGATCAAAAAGATCTTGGCAAAAACTAAAAGTAACATAGATATAAGAATCGTTATGAAATCCTTTTTTCTCATAGGAAACTACGAAAAGACTTCTGAATTTTTATCTGTGAAACGAGCATTCTCAAAGACGCATGTCGTATTTGTGGCGCTTACTCTCATGAGAGACGGGAATGCCACCAATCAACTCTACTACCCTGAAGGTCTCTTCGTTGATGATGATCAAACGATTGTCATCGCTGACTTCAGGAATCATCGTATCATCCAATGGAAGATGGGTGATACGAATGGACAAGTAGTAGCTGGTGGCAATGGCCAAGGAAATCGATTGGATCAATTGAATCAACCAACTCATGTGTTGATTAGCAAAGAGACGGATAGTCTCATTATTTGTGATCGATGGAATCGACGAGTCATACGATGGTCTCGTCGTAGTGGCACAACTCAAGGAGAAATTCTCATCGACAACATCCGATGTTGGAGATTGGCCATGGATGATCAGAGATATCTCTATATCTCTGACATCGACAAACATGAAGTAAGACGATATCAAATAGGAGCCAAGAATGGAACTATTGTGGCTGGTGGCAATGGCGAAGGTGATGGTCTTAATCAACTCAGCTGGCCGGCTAACATCTTTGTCGATTAACAACAGACTATCTACGTGTCAGACTACCACAATAATCGTGTAATGAAATGGAATAAAGATGCAAAAGAAGGAACTGCCGTCGCTTGAGGCCAAGATCGAGGGAATGCTCTGACACAATTGTCGGATCCTTACGGACTGTTCGTTGATACATTGGGTACCATCTATGTGGCAGACTCGTTGAATCATCAAGTCATGCGTTGGCCTAAAGGAGCGAAACTGGGCACTGTCATTGTGAGTGGAAATGGTCACGGAGAAGGAGCAAATCAGTTCAAGGTTCCCATCGGTTTGTCCTTCGATCAACATGGCAATCTCTATGTCGTCGATCAGTGGAATCATCGTATTCAACGTTTTTCAATCGAATAGACTCATTACAATGGATTATTTTTTTCTTTCCTTTCGCTTCAAATAAATCACATTGAATTCATGAAATGAATGTCTATTCTATTCACGCGCGCGCGACCAGGAACCATCCTGGTGGAGCCGTGGCGAGCACAACACTCAAGCACGGGGGTGGGTGTGGTTGGGTGTGGGATTTGGGTGTGAGTGTGTGTGTGGGTGTGTTGTTCGTATGTGTATCCACACCCACACCCTTGAATAAAAAACCGTTCACATCCTACTTTATACTGGAATCACTATATCTAACTGATATTGTAGAAGATATCATGATCATGAAAATTTGTTTTCTTCTAGCTTCAATTAATTATAACTTTGATCGGTACACTTTGTTTTGCAGGTGTGG